GCATTACTTCATTTTTTTCATTTTTTATACATAATTACCCGTGACTACATTATTCTGATTGTTTGCTTTTAATCGAGCGGTAATAACAAGAATTATCATAATACAAGAGGCTTCGTTGCGACGAGGTTAATAAACTCAATCGACATGATGTTTTTTATTAGATTTTTCTTTGTAAGTGTACCACTTTCTGGCATCTGGTTCACAACCATGATTAAAATTAAGAGACAATTTTTGAAAGCTCTCTTGTGTTATGATTAAAAAATAAAATCATATATTATACAACATTTTAAACGACAATAAGATATGATAAGTTCCTACGTGTCATACAAGGTATGTTTACAATACTAACATCTTGTATACATATAAAAGGTACAGGATATATAGTTTGTTACGTTTAAAAGAGATCAGATCAATAGTCAAAAGTGGGTAGATAGAACCGATGTTTTCCGCGCGGTTGTCGCTTAGCGTTTGTTGAAGGGATTGTTCCTTGCGGTGGTGCGCGCAGCAGCCGCGGCAGTCTGTGTGCAATGGCAAAGCGCATCAAACACGCGCACGACAAACACGCGCGCGCGTCCCAAACGCCGCCTTATGTTACCTGTAAGGACACCACGAGTAAACCTTTCTGACCATTAGAAGGACACTGCCATATCCAACGTAATAGTAACTAAAACAGTCGTTTAGTAAAGATTTAGTATACTTAACCTACATTCAGGGATTGCTTATGTTATTAAACATTTACCTCTCAAAAAGTCTTTCACGAAAAACTGAATTTTCTACAGTAGTTAACAACTTAGAATCTTGTTGAATATTATAACTAAAGAATGATTTATTAATAGTTCCATAAGAGTAAATGCGCGTGTATATGAATAGACAAGCCACTTACAATAGTCTACAAGGCATTGTTACAATTACACAGGAAGTAGTTTGTCGTTTACAAGATGTCTGTCGTAATTTAGGTATTTGACAAGGGCAAAAGTGATTTTTATGTGTGAAAAAGATTACCGGAAATTGGTAATTACGCGTTTTAGCGAAGACAAAATGTGTCGTTTACCTTTGATACTGAAATTTTGAGTTTGGATTGCATTTGAAAGTAAATATTGCCCTTTACAAATGTAAAGCTCTGCGGGATTGTAGTTTTTTGACCGACTTCCCAAAAGAAGGAGGTATTCAATTCGTCGGTATATTTTTTTT